GTCTCTTGAGGAGCAACCACTCATCCTGAACTCCCGTCTCCTTGAGGTCATGGTCACTTAGGGCCTCACTGGCAAGCCTCCTGACCTTGTCAAAGTCAGCTTTCCTGAAGTTGATGACTTCTGTATTGCAGACTGACTTGCCAGCTTTATAGCGGATGGAGAAGTTGATCAGCTTGTGGTCACTGTCACCTAGCTTCCCTTTGATCGTTAGGTCGCTGATCATGTCGTCCCCCGTTGCCAGTACCAGGTTGAGCAGCGCTTTACCTCTCATTGGCCCGTTGACTTCTTGCGTCAGGTAGAGCTCATCCACGCATGAGAGAAAGCTTTGTGACCATTCTGATTTGCCTGAGTGCTCTTCCCACGAGACGTCTGGGTAGCTGAAGTCTCCCATGACAACCACGCATTGGGAGCGTGCAGCTTCAGCCAATTCCCTGGTGAACTCCCGGTCAAGGTCGGTCTGGGTCAAGCCCTTCTCTCTTGATCTTGGGCAGGAGGTCTGTAGTAGACTCCCACCATTGTGTCCCTTCTGCCGTGTTCCTCCCAGATTTTAACCCAGAGGGTCTCCAGTCATCCACCCTGGTCACCAATATCGGCTTGCAGGGACACGTAGCTTTCCTTTACATAGAGAGCTACACCTCCGCCCCTTTTGTCCACTCGATCCCTCCTGTACAGGGTATAGCCGTCTATACCCGTGGTCCAGTCGTGGGTGGAGTCCCACCAGGTCTCCGTTATCCCTATGACATTGTAATTATTTGTGTTAAGCAGGAGGACAAATTCCTCTTGTTTATTCCCAAGCTCCTGGCATTTGTGTAGAGGCACGCAAGTGTCCCCTTGGGGTCCCTTGCCTTGCCTACCAGTTGTTCCAGGGCTGGGGCATAGGTGGGCTCCCTCAAGCGCCTTGGCCTGCTGGCTTTGCGAGGGTTGCTCAGTGGGCCAGCAGTGGTGGCAGTCCCCCCATTCCCCAGTGGGCTTAGTTTAAAGTCCGGTGGAGCAGGTCAGCCAGTCTGACTGAGAAGAGCCTCCTCCCCAGCGGAGAGAGGTAGAAGTCGTCCCTTCCCAGCAGCTCACTGCCTCTCTCCCCAAAGAGTGGACTGTGGTCATGGAAGCTGAAGCTGTCATGATGACACCAGTGCCACAGTCTTTGGTTTACTGCCTCAATCCTCCTCTCCCTCCTCAACCAGTAGCCCGAGACTGGGAGGATCGAGGAAAATACCACCTGGTGTTTTCTCTTCAGGCATGTGGGGTGTCGGTGATGTTACAGCGCAGGATCCTAGGGGTTTCTTTCTCAATAAGCACACTGCAGCCACACACAAGGCCTGATCCTGCTTTTGTTCCACCGTATAACTCCTCTGATATCAGCAGGTCTGCTCCCAGTTTACTGAGAGAGAGCAGAATTTGCCTTACTCTGCTCACATGCCAGTGCTGGTTTGTTCCCTCGGGAAGGAGAAGTCCTGGGGGAGGGTTAATGTTTCAGCAGTTTTCACCTTTCTGAATGAAGGACATATTTTGAAAAAATTGACATGGGCCCCTTGAAGTGGGCATGGGCAGCAAGTCCTTGAAGGAGCTGAAGATTTGGAGGCTCATTTGAATCAAGGATCTTGGCTGACGACGACTGGCTTGTGTGGGTTATCAGGCATCCTCTCTAACAAGTACTTCTGTGTGCTTGTACTTTGTGATTGAGAAGTAGCAGATATCACTTTTGCCTAGTGCCAGGCTGGCTGTGTCTCTGTAAGAAGGTAGATGAGGGACCAGTGCTTGGGGCATGAGCCCAGTATCGAGGTCCTACCCCGGGTCTCTTGTTGATCTCACAGTGTGACTTCTAGCCTCGCCTCCCAATCTGTAAGACTGGGATGATAATGCTGACCTGCCTCTGAGGATGGGTTATGGCTGTATCAGTTTTGCAGTGTAAGATCCATGCCAGGAGTGCTGTACCAAGTGTTAGGTAGTTTAAAATCTCTCGTGGTGTAAGCATTTCAAATGGATGAGCTTGGTGTGTACCAGACTCCTTTGCAGAAGCTTTTTCCAGCTGCGTGACTTCATCGAGCAATGAGAGATAAGCAGAGGCTCTGTGGGGAAACTCGACCATGCTGGCTTGTGTGAGGTCCAAAACCCCCCAGCTCAGTGCTGAGTGACTCAAATCTATTGAGATGGTGGGGTAAGCTCCTGCTTCTTCAGATGCCCTAGGTTGTTTAGTTTTGCAGTGATGTGACCTTGAAAGTAAGAGTTGGTTTTTCACCATCCCTGGTGGCTTTGGGTGGGATCTGTCTCTTTGATATATTCCATTGCTCAGCAATGACTTCTCCAGTCTTTATGGTGCTCATGGGCTCTGGAGAACATCATGCCTGCTCTTTGCAGGCTGGAAAGAGGGGAGGCATGAGGCATGTTGACACAGGTATAAGGCATAGGAAGAATTGGACAAATAACTTGGTTTGATTATGTTCCTGTCCAAGGTTAGAGAAAACAATCTTCCTCTGGGGCATAATTTATTAGCAGAATCTGAGTGGCTTTTCTCTGGCTCATTAAATTAGCATTATTATATGTTAAGATCAAGTGGAAGCATATGACACACTCACTTCCCTGCCATTACTAAGGCCACCTCAATCTTCTGTTACTTCTGAGCCTTCCCTATGTCATCTGACCACCACTGGGATGCCCACTGTGAAAAGTCAAAAGGTGATTAATGGGAATGGGAAGAGGCTTTTCATTTCTGTGGGATGATTTACATAAAATAAGATGGGGCTCTTGGTCCAGTTCCCACTTGAGTTAGTCTGGGAGAATTGTGGTGTAGCTTACAGTGTGAATTTAGTTTTATTTTGTTAAACTGGTACAAACTCCTGTAAGATCATTTTTAGTGGTATAAGTATGGCTTGCTTTGGACTTAATGTAAGTCATCTGGTGCAAGGACTGCCTTATTTCAGTTTGTATCTGCATAGAATTTTTACCACTTTGTTAAAAAAAGATTTAAATTGATATAGTTAAATTGGTGCTAGCTCTTGTGAAAGGAAAAGTTGAATGGGTCCTGCAAGCCAGAGTATTCTCTTCCCCCTTGGTATGGGCCTTGTAAGTCAGGAGTAAGGTATGTTGGCAGGGATACATAGGGCTAAACCTCACAGCTTGGCTCATTTCACCAGTACTTCACTTCATTTCATGATGGAATAAATCAGTGTTTGCCTTGGGACCGAGGAGAGAGAGAGGTAGGGAAGTGGATTTGCTTTGCCCTGATGTCGCTCTCTGCAACTGGACCTGTCCTTGCTGAATTTATTTATTTTTGTCCCAGGAATGTGTGTGAATTTTAATTCTAGTTTTTTGTCTTGCTTTTGCAAGTGTGGGAGTGCTCTGAAGTCTCTCTGCAATAGCTAAGCAGCAGCAAGACAGGCATGCAGATCCAGGGTCATTCTGAAGGAATGTCCTGGCCCTGGTTGCTGACTTCCTTTCTCATTGTTCCAGGGAGGTGTCTGTCTCAGCAGGCATCCGCTGCAGTGCAAAAGTTTTGAGGAAGCATGATTTAATTATGGAATCATGCTAGAACCAAGTAATAAACCAAGTGACTAAGCTGCTGAGAATCGGTTGGCTAACAGACACCTGCTCTGAAACAAGTAAACATGATGTATGTGGGCTGGGAGGGCTTTTTCCTTAGATTGCCTTAATTAACCACGGGATGATAATTAGGAAGGTAGTTTTCAAGCATTTCTACTGAGATCCTCCACTGTGGTGAAGTCAGATAAACCCTTGCAAGGGTGGCTTCTTCTGGAACAGAGGTATTTGGTACTTCAGACTGCTTTATGAACAGGAGGCTTTGTGAACATGCAGCACTGGTCACAGAAGCAAGACAGCAAGTACAGATACTCAGCTTCTGGAGCCAGGGTCCTTCTCGAGTAGATGGCTGAATCAAAGAAATTGGATCTGTTCCAAATATGTGGAATCTGGTCTTAATAATACCTGCCTGTTCCATCTCATCTGCTGGGCTTCTTGGGCAGTGTTGCAGCTGTTCGTACTTCAGTAGCTGCAAAGCACATTTGGTGCCTGTTGCAGACTCAATGACTTGGAATTTGGGTGGTTTGTGTCTGTCTGTTTCTTGTGTATATGTGACATTTTATTTTTTATCAGAAAAGGTCCCTGAAAGTTAAAGTAAATTATTACTAGACTGATCCATTACTTAAAAATAGAACAGTGAAGAGTGAAGCTGGCTCTGGATACTCGTGTCTAAAAATAATATGGAGGTAACTCTTCAAAAAAGAAAGCATTCTCCTGAGCAGCTGGAACTGCGGTGTTTTGTTTTTAACTTGGAACCTGATAATCTGTGTTTAGCTATACCATGCATCAGGGATTTCATAGGAATTGATGTTGATGCAATAATCTTGATTTACAACAAACCGTGGAATAGCACGCGGCTGTGTAAACATGAATGTGGGTAAGAAATGCATTTGCATATTTGATTTTAAGTAATATGAAAGTGCCTAATACTTCATATATAGCATTTTATGGCATATATTACTGAAATGTAGCTGCTTAATGGGAAACCAGCACCTATGTTACATACCTGAGGTCTTGTTTGTAATGCGTTTGGTGGAGATGGAACAAATTTATTTATAAGTTTTAGGTGGGGGTTTTTCACCTTACTTAATGGCATGTAAAATATTTAACTACCTCTTTGCATAATGATTCTATCTCCCTAGAGAGAGTGAGTAAAATGGTCAGAAGTGCCCCAGTTGTTTTCAAAGGGGACTAGAATCCTTTTGAAAAATGGGACTTATTCACACAAGTATTCATAAGTGCCTGTGTAGTCTGCCTCCATGTGTTCATGCATATGTGTGTTATTATATAATTCTTAATTGCCTGCACTGCTACCATTCTGGCCATCATATTGCAAGTGCTTATAGTTGCCTGTAAAGCTTCACTTCCAGTGCACAGCTGCCTGGGGAGGGAAAGGATGTGTACAAAGCGAGTAGCTATTTTGCTCGAGAGGTGCAACTCAAAGCATCTTCCTCTTCCCACTCTAGGTGACGAGCAGTGGCCGCGATGAAAGCAATAGCCATTGGGTGATGCCTCACCTGCTGATAAAAATGCTCAGCAAATCCCGTAAGTCCGTGTTCCTTTATGTTCTTTTCCTAAAAAGGATTTTTCAGGCTGCTAATGACATAAATGCAGAGCAGTATTTAACAGCATTGCAGAGGGGAGGCAGATGGGGACCCCCTGCAACACTGCATGGGAAAGAGGGTGGCTTGATCTTATTCTGTCTTTAGCCCTTGGCCTGAAAGATCAGCCAGCATGCTGAGTTCCTTCTCCTGGAGTAAGTGCAAAGAGCAGGCTGATGGATGGAGTGAGCATCTGACTTTCCACAGACCTAGTCTTCTAAGGCCATCTCCAGGAAAGGTGTGGGAAGGAATCATCTACACAGAGATCTCTCTTCTCTTTGGTCTGGTTCCTTTACCCCATTGTTGCCCACTCCCTCGGGGAGAATTAGGATATAGGGTTGGAGAGTAGAAGAGCAAGAGCAAAACACAGTTGGTACAAAGCTGGAATTAGATCCAAGCCAAACCATAGCATCCTGATAGAGAAGGTCCTGCATATTATAGTGATGGGTAAGTAGAAGTGGGAAGAAGTTGAGTCAGTGGGAGGTGATGGGGGGAAAGCTAGGAATCGTCTTATCTTGGCAGTGGCAGGTTTCTGAGGAGATTGCATTGGGGTAGGTCAGGGATGCTAGGCTGTGATGAGGAGGGCTATGGCTTGGTTTCTGACTAAGCACAATTGAAGAAAGGGAGGGGAGGATCACTGTCAAAGTGAAGTGAGGTAAGGTTTAATGAGAGCTAAGATAGATTTGTCACAAGCTACTCCTTGGTGATGAGCCAGGATCCGGCACTGGGATTGGCGAGGGGTTGAGAATTGCTTAGTGCCAGCGTTTGAGGGCAGGTTCTACAGAATAAGTTCACCAATCTCAGATGGAAATCCTCTTGACTGAGGTCACCCAGCATCCTTCACAGCCTAACGGCTGTGTGACTTGGGGAGGTGACATGGGCTCTGCCCATCCAGCAAAGACTACCCTCACCCTGAGCTGACTGTGCATCTATTCTCAGTGTTACCCAGCAAAGTGTGTCCTTTCTAGGATGCCATGCTGATGTGTAATCATGCATTTTCTCTTGGCTTCTTCCTCTGTGCTTCATCAGCATTAGTCCAGTGAGCCTGGCTTCCTGTCTGTCCTTTTTGAGTATGACGTCCCCATCACCTGCGTTTCCCACATTTGCTTTGCATGTACTCATGTTCTGTGGTTGGGTAGATGCCTCCTTCCACAGCACATTCACCTTAACGCTTGGAGCAGTGCCGTTGTTCCCTTTCGCCGCAGTCCGCACGTTCAGCCTCTCTCTCGCTGTCTCTGCCTCCAGCTGCACTGACCTCAGTTTCATCTTATGTCTCTGGTGTTTATTCACAGTCGAAGTTGCTTGCACTGGAGCTGGGCTCTGTCTGGCTAATGAGATAACAGCTTCCTCTAATGTTTTCAATAATCATTTTGTAGTTTTGCTATATGCTGTGGCTACTGTCTGCTCTCAAATCTTGGAGAAGATTAAATCAGCTCAATTCCAGGACAGTCCCTTCAAATTCAGATCAGTCACTGATGTCTGTATTGCTGTGCCCTGCTCTGAAGTACAGCCCCATCAGCCTTTGTTTTCCTTTGGTGACTGCTCTGCATTGAAGTCTGTCGTGACATATTTTGCTTTTCAAGCATTGAGTAACCAGCCACATCATCCCAAATGCCTTTGATTTCTAAGATTTAGAAATGACAAAACACAACTAAAAGAAAACAGCCTTTTCCTTGGAGGGAGAACTGTATCTGTGTCACATTTGCAGCATGCTGCATTGGGTGCTTCACATAATGGCAAACACCCCAGGCGCCCCAGGTATTTACAGGTACTGGTGGAAAGTGGGGGTGGGGGAAGAGGCACCTCTGGCTCTGGACCCTCTGCAGCCCAGGGCATAGGATGTGCTTGCTTCTAGCTTGCTCCTGTGGCCATACGTACAGCTGAGGACAAGTGAAACTTGGAGGCATCTGAACCCCAAGTCTCCGGGCTTGGGCCTGCATGTAGGATGCCTGCCAAAGGATTTAGAAGTATCTGAAGTCCCAGGCTGGGGTGGAGGCTACTTGCTGGTAGCAGGGCCACATGGTTCTTGGATGATTCAAATGGATTTGGACCTGATCTGGTTAATTTGACCTAGGACACGAAAAATATTCCTTAGAAAGTGGGGGCAGGGGTTGCTAGCTGTAGCCCCAGCTGGGCTCTGTAGCAGCTGATGCGGCAACTGCATTTCTGGCCAGGCCCCAGAGCCCAGGCTGGAGCTGCTGCTGTTTCTGTTGCTACAGGGCTGGGGCTGGGACAAGGCCAGGAATCAGCTAAAAGGCTGTAAACCACATCAGTGGATCAAGATGACTGGCAGGCCTCTTAGGGAGAGGGGTGGGATAGGCTGGCATCAGAGCTAGTTTCGTTTAACGGTTCTGTTGACAGCTTTGAAAAAGGAGCAAACAACTCATAAAATTGGGAGGCATTTCAAACTTGAGCAAGAAATAGACTCTCTTGCTTCATAAGCTTTACCCCTGGTGAACCTGCTCTGGAGGAGTCAGTGGATTTACTCCTGAGTTTCACCACATAAAGGGCTTGCACCTGCAAGGTTTTGAGTAATTTGGCTAAGATCTTGCAATTTGTGTAAGCCCACACTAACCGTCAGTGCCAGGAGTCGTCCACTTAACTTTGCTGCAGCTAACAGTGTCCTTAAGTTAAGGCTGTGCTTTGTTGGATCAGGGTCTAAGAGCCCACTGTCTGTAGGTACCTAAGGCCTAAGCAGGAGGAGAGTCAGGCCAGTAGTTCATATACTGTGGCTAAATGATGTCTGTTCAGTAATACTGTGGTGGGCTGACTACACAGGATAGAGGTACATAAGTACTTTATTTGGAGTAATCCAAGAGGATATGACTGTGATAAGAGGAATAGGAAGAAGTTAGGGACTGGGAAACTGAGTAAAAACCAATAGACCTCACCATCAGGCAATCTTTCACTTCCCCAGAGAATGCTGTAAACCCAATTGCTTGGCTCATTTAAAACTAGACAAGATGTAGCACTGGAAATGTTGCTGCAAGGAAAAAAATCTGTTGTCAGGGAAAGATGGAGGAGAAGTCTTAGGTAGGCATTTTCTATCTTGTTCTGCTTTTATTCTTCTTTAGCCAATCATTGTGCTTAAATGCTACAGTAAGGAGGGTGCTGTAGGAATCATATCTTTAGATCAGTGATTTTCAACCTTTTTAGTCTCAAGACACCCCTCTTTAGACCCTGGGCACTGCTTGGAAAATGCCAGCTCCTAGTTTCCACTCCTTTCTTGACTACAGAAAAGTAATAGAGTGGTTCTTCTGTTGCAAAGCACTCAGAAAGACTGCAGGTTAAAGTGTTTTTGACCCTATTGGATTCCTACTTGAAATCTCTGATTTTAGATTGTAAATCATGTTTGCACACCTAACTGCTAACATTTCATAGCACTCCGTGGCACACCTGAAAAGATCTCAAAGCACCCCAGGGTACCATGATACCCTGATTGAGAATCATTGGGCTAGATTATTGGAAGCTCACTTCCCAAACTTTTCTCCTAAGAGGGATTTTTCCCAGCATCTTCCTGAGTGTTAATATGCCCAAGTTTGTACGGACAAACTGAGATGGATTATTGTTTATCAGTGAATTAGCCCTTGGCTGAGTGTGTGTGCATGTGTGTACATGTGCATGTAACTCACATGCACATCTCTTGGATGTTCTAGTTCTTGTGTGCTACAGTGCTAGCACCATCATCTGGGTTTACAGCATTTTCTA